TATTAGATTTTGGGTATTGCGCAAGTTTTACTTCGGTATCTTTACATTTAATCAATCATAACTCCGCTTTAAATTCAAACATCTTCCTGTCGTTTAGTAAATTTTAAAGTGCCATCTTTAAGATTTAAAATGCGCTATATAGCTTAGCAAAGTTGGCAATATAACTTCACAAAACAGTGTCAAGCACGACGACGTCCGACAAGCAGCGCATCAGGCAATACATTCTTTTCGCATTCCAATTAAAAAAAGAAATATTACACATGCTGCAAATATGATTTACTCAAATTTGGGGGAAGTACTGTAACATAAGCCTGTAAAAAGTAGTACCAAAAGTTTCGGAATAGTGATTTCTGTCTTACCGATGAAGAACGCTCGGCCGCACATCGCAAAGGAGACGAAAGACACTACTTATTCGTTGAGCTGGGAAGTTCACCCTCATGCGGCTTATTTACCAAACCTAGTCCCTTCGGATTACCATCTATTCCAACCGCTCCAACACCACCTGGCTGGTACACACTTTAAAAGTGTGAAAGAGGCCCGAAAATACATTGACAATTTCATTGGTTTAAAGCCGCTGTCTTTTTTTCGACAGGGGATTCGTTAGCTGCTGGATAGATAAGAAAAATTATTAAAAAATTATGACGAATATTTCGAACATTAATATGTTTATTATTATTATTTTTTTTTTGTAAATAAAGATTCAATTTCTTCAGAAAAAGCAGCGGGATTAATTTGCGCACCAATATATTAAGATGAAGAAAACAAAGATAACAGTATTACTTTCAAATTACTTCATATCCTTTTTAATCCATATAAACATCAAAATTGCGTAAGTTAATTCTTTCTTTAATTAAATTAAACTCAAAGCTAATGGCCTATAAAATCAATTATTTATTAGAAATTACATACATAAACGAAAACTAATTTAATTAAAAGCTAAGTTAAAATTATAACACCGCAACTTATTAAAGTTAAAATATTAATTATATACTCGGAGCGGCAATAAAGTCTGCTGTCATTATTTTTTTATTTCTCTCTTTCTACATTGGAAGCAACCTGTAATAATTATAATTTCGATGACTTATTTTAATTTATGAAGAAGTTAATAAATCTACTAAACGACAGGAAGATATTTGAATTTAAAGCGGATCAGTATGACAAGTTGAAACGTAAACTTTATACGAAAGAAAGCACGCAAGTGAGCATTCCGTCAAGGCCTATTGAGATCGCATACAACTATACGCGCCTGCCAGCGAAACGGATAGGCAATCTGTCGTACCGACCTGTATGTAAGTGCAACACCCTGTATATGGACGTATTATAGATGTGTGACAGTGTGATATTATCTTGAAAGAACTTGTTAGCGATTATCATCTATACTTTGAAGGTTTTTATCCTAACAGGTTGACACTGTATTGCAATATATAAGTGTGTGTGCGAGCGCGCAAGCGTGTGCGTATGTTTTATGCACGAAAAAAAAGGTTTGGTCGAATATGAACGATCCAGAAATTCCTATTGAAGTAACCCGAATTCTGTTTAAGTCAACCAAAAATCTTGTTAACTTAAACAAAATTCGGATTACCTCAATCGGAATTTCTGGATCGTTCATATTTGACCAGATATTTGGTTAATTCAACCAAACCTTTTCTTCCGTGTGTAAAACGAGAAATCTATATTTATTATTATACAAAGTTGGGTAATAATTAATTATTTAAAAATTAAGTTAAAAATTAATATTTCTTAACTTAACTTAGTTAATTTCAAGTAAATAAACTTTTAGATAACTTAATAGAGTAGACTGGCAATTAAAAAATATATTAACTTTAATTTATTAACTTTTTCGTATAAATTAAAATAGGTCATTAATATTACAATTATTACAGGCTGCTTCCAATGCAAAAAGAGAGAACTAAAAAAATAATGACAGCAGACTTTTTTGTCTCTCTGAGTGTATAATTAACTTTTAACTTTAATAAGCTGTTATTATAATTTTAACTCAGTTTTTAATTATATTAATTTTCGTAACTTCTAATAACTAAATTGATTTTATGGATCATTAGCTTTGAGTTTAGTTAAAAAAGAATTAATTTACGCAATTTTGATGTTTATATATATTAAAAAGGATATAAAATAATTTGAAAGTAATATATCTCCCTTTGTTTCCTTCATCTTGATTTTGTCCGAATTTTCCCCACATATTTGTAAAAAAAATACAATAATGATACGCGATAACAGCAATTTTTTCGAAATAGAACACGAACGTATACGATAACGAGAGTTTGTTATTATATGGAACAGAAAACTTATACAATTGGCGACGTAATAAATTGCGGAGCGTTAATAAAACACGTTCATTAAATACCGGCGCTGAGTGTATCGGCGAATCGCGATTTGTCAAATCACTCGCACGGCAATAACACGTGAATTCAATTATGCGTTATCGCTGTTTTGTTGCTTGATAAGCCAAGAGGTCGTTAGGCGGGTTGCGTTGCGGGGATCCCTGCCCCTTTTTAAAAACTCTCGTTAAACCGCGTAATTAATTCGTGGCGCTCGCGGCGCACGAGACAGATAATTAATTAAACCGCAATATCCCGCCGTGGATAAGGGTTTTATTGCCGAATTTATCATGGCGTTTAAACTCAACGAACTTGCACTTATCGCTCAGAAAACATTAATATAAATGGCCCAAGACTCGAGGGTAATTACCGACGTAGCATCGACGTAATTTCTGAATTAAATCGAATGCTTTTAAATGCGTTTGGTATTCATTGAAATTTTACGTGTCATAATCGTCCGTCATTAAATATAATAAGGACTTCTAAATTATGGATGTACCCACAGATAGACAATTGTGCGTAAATTTGGCAGCAATTTATAAAAAGATTGCGTCCCTTATGAATGGTTTATAATGCAATCATATTTATCACATAGAATGAAAAAATAGAAATAGGAAAGAGATTCGAGAAAAATGATCAAAATTTGATTAAAACAATATATCATACAAAATGTAATATGAAAATCTCACGCTTATTATCCAAGTTGATATTATCGTTTCATCGAAACTTCGAGTAGAATAAAACGGAAAATCGTTCTTGTATATTAACAGTTCATAAGATAAAGTCTCATTGCGCGAATCAATTAATAATTCTTAATTCAATTAGGCAGTATCGTGCACGCAATAACAACGATGATATCTTTGAATCAATGAGACGATAAGTCCTTGAACTTTATTACGCGGATACTTTGCTTTAAAAGTTAGTGGAGCAAGGAAGTCGGGTTGTCATGGGAAATCTAGTGTGCCATCGTAATTCGAAAGCGATTGTTCGAATTTATGAACCCATTAGGGTGCTCCTAGACGTTCGACTAAAGCTGTTCCTGATTCCTGACGCTATAAAAGCGACCCACGGCGCTATTTTGCCCAGAATACCACCCATATATTACAAATATCACATTTATCTACGCGCAATTGTATGTAAGGTCTCACATGTGAATTCGTTTCTTTTCGCAAATTAAAGTTTTACAATTTTTTAAGCACTGCTTGGCGCATAATCGCCAATCGTGCGATTGTTTTTGATTACAAAGAAGACCAGCGACGTATTACACTTGGGATATATTTGTAAACACCTGAATTTAATTATTATCTATTCAGAGTATTTTATTAGCTATTTCAATATTCATAAGTCATCGAGATATTGAATTATCGAATAATAACAATATATAAGAAATATTACACGTAACAATGACAAGAAACGTAACAACAACACAACAAATTAATAATGATAATTATATAGTATAGGGGAGTCAGCTGCAATAACCTTGATCTTGACATGTTGTTAAGGACATCTTACTGAGTGACTTTTGAAAGGTTTTAGCTGTCACTGATTGGTAATTAAAAAATTATGAACAAAAGAAATTTTTTAAATACGATGTAGTTTTATTTGTGTACATTAAAAAATAAAATAAATATACCAAAAAGTACACGTATACACAGTTAAATCCGTAGTATCAAATTATACTTAATTTGAATTATTTTTAACCATTCCTATAAGTCGCCACTGCTCCTACTAAATATGTCGTTAATTTAACTAATGTAATGGAATTAAATAATTTAACTTAAGAAATGTATGTAAATTTGACTAAAATTTAGTTTATTTTTTATTATGTTTTACGTTAATGTAACCTTTGTTTTAGTAAAAAATGACTTAATATTGTTTTAAATGGGTTGATTAGATGTGGTTGTTTTTTTAAACACATGTTTTGTGTTAAAATAGTAAATTTTAACACACATGATAGTTAAAAATAACTAAATATTATTTAACTCAAGAAACTGGTTTAAATTTGACCCTCCAATATTTAACAGTATATGGGTCGGAGCTCCTCCCTTCTCTCCGCACCCCCTTCCCAAACAACTAACCTTAACTTGAAATATGATAAATAGTATCTGTATATTGTATAGTAATAGTATATTGTTTTTCATTAACTTCATTCATCAAATTACAAAGATGCAAAATACCTATACGGCTTATCATACTTCAATAGAGGGATTAGGTTAGGTTAGAATTAGTTTTTTTAGGAGGGAGTGCGGGGAGGCGGAGCCCCTGCGCATATACGTATACTTTTTGCTATATTTACCTTATTTTTCAATATACATAAATAAATAAAACTACAATTTAAAAAATTGTATTTAAAAAACTTCTTTTGTTCGTAACTTTTTAATGACCAATCAGCGACGGTTAAAATCTTTCAAAACTCAGTAAGATATCCTTAATAACATATATGAAAATCAAGGTCATCGGAACTGCCTTCCCTATATCATATAATTACCTTAATAATAAACAGTTTTTTTTTATTATTTTACGATTATTAATATTGAGTAGGAAAGGAAGCGAAGAAGACGTATGTAGGTTGAAATATATTGCGAGGCTGATCGCATCGAAATATAGAAGTACAAAAAGAAATAAGAGCCACATCCTAAAGTGGACATTTTATGTATTTTTCAGCAGTGAGCTCTATGCGCCCGATCGATAGTACTAACTGCATTCTGGTTCAAGATATCAAGGCTGTCACTCACGAAAACGCACATATTCACGACTCGATATCTACGCAGATACCTACAGAAGGTAAATATCTAGCGATATTAATTTGCATCTACTCTGCATGATGTAAATACTCTCGCGTACAGCGTCACACGGTAATTGCTTTCGGGAGGCGAATGGATGAACATTCCGTCGATATAATGCCTCTAGTACATACGGACTATATCGTCAAGCCTCCAAATGTCATCCGCTATAAAGATTTCACACTACGAGCCGCGTACCATTTCGGGGATATAATTGAGCAATTGATGTGCGCGTTACGTGTAGCGCGCGGTTGACACGAAGATAAACTGAGAGATTCAGGGTTCATGTATACATAGTGTAACATTACGCGAAGAGGCAGCTTGAAGTCATCGGCTTAAGGTAGTTGTGTCATGAAATGAATTTTGTGAAAATTCGATTTGCATTACATACATATTAAAATATTACCTAATTGCTGATGTAACAAGATTCTAGATCTTAGATATTTGCTACTAAAATTGACACTTTTTATACGTGTTCTTTGAATTTAGCGTTATATTTTTAATTTCTACTTTTAATATCTTTCAAACAACATGTAAGATTCTGGTAAAAATTACTATGATATTAAAAATAATTACTAGGAACTAATAAATACTATAATATATTAATATATATAGTCATTACAAATTCAATCATACAAATTTCATGAAAATTTCAATACTATTGATAATTTTATTTCGAAAATACAGCAATGGAAAGTTGATAATTTACAGCAGAGTTGAGTAATAACTAGTATTCAATTAAAAGTTAAATTAAAAAGTTAATAATTTTATGCTTAAATTTGTTATTTTCAAATAAACAAATTTTTAACTTAATCCTTTTAGTTCTGGTAGAACATATACTGTCCTAAAAATGTGCTTAAATAACTGCAACTTTATAGCGGATCAATATATTTTAATCGTCCTCTTGTTGTAATATTTTAAAAAAATATTTTTTAGTTGTATGTCTGTTGTACAATAAACAAAATATTTTATATAAAAAATATATATATATATTAAGAAACACAATATTTCTTAGGTACTTTGTGTATATAATAAATGTCTACTAACTATAAATAAATATAATTACATACAATATCAAAATACTATTCATCGGTGGTCACTGATAACCAATTCAAAATTGTAAAAATGCAAAATGGCGTATCTAATACAGCTAGGAAATATCAAAATATATAAAATTATATATATAAAATTATATTATACATTATATTGTTCCAGACTCTCCTTCTCACATTAAGTGGAAATGTAGAACGGGTTGAGGTGAACATAAAAGTCCTTCACCGTTTTACGATATTTGCAATAATAGTCAAGATATTAATTAAAAAAGATTGGTGAATGATCACGCGCGATATGGTAGATGAGCTGCAGTGGCGCCGTCTGCCGTTGTATACTTATACATTAGGTCAAACTGAACAAAAAAGTCCTCTACCATTTTGCAAATGACTACATAGATTTTTAGATATTAAAAAAAATTGAACTAAATTGAACTACATATATGATTGTGTACCATAATGCACAAATTTTCTTTAATTAATATCTAATGTTCACCTCAACCCGTTCTACATTCCCACTTAATGAGATGGAGAGTTTGGGACACCCTGTATGAAATCAATCGGATCAAAAATTGGCACGTATAATTCTTTTTGTCGCTAATGAAGAATCTGAAATTGAATTATATAAAATAAAAAAATCATGAAAACAATAAAATATAAGACACAAAAAATAAAAAACGGACTCTAGAGTATGTTTATACATATACCTATTGTTTACCTGCTCGCATTGAGAGCCGATAACAATATAAATCGTTGATTAACATACTACTCAGCTATACAATTTATTTTTTTAATATTAACATTTGAAATTTCGATTCTTAGCAAAGTCAAAAACCTATACAGGATAAAAATTATTATAAAAATAGTAAACAAAAATTTGACATTCTATTGAATACACGATATAAAAAAACATTTAAATAATTACAATAATTTTACGTCGATACAATAATATTGTAAAAAATTAAACGTGCATGATATTTTTAGACAAACATAATTTTGATTATAATTTCTATATGGTTCAAGATTAAAAAATTTCGTTAAAATTATATCTTTTTGCAATGTTTTTTTATAAAGCGCTATACTGAAATAGTATAATTTCCTATAGAAAATTTGACGATCTAAAAAACATTTATGTAATTTCGCAGTAAAATAACAAACATATAAAACATGCTCAAACAAATATATAATAACTTTGATTATAATTTCTCTGCATGAACCAAGATTAAAAGATTTTGTTGTAATTTTCACTACAATATTATCTCTATGTATACAAGTTCAAAACATATCGGCTATCGCGTGCTGATGAAAGTCAGCGAAATAACAGTTTTAGACCCATGACTACTATAACCACTAAAACCACGAAGTAATTTAATTTAACTTTGCAATCAAAGCAATGTACTGCATTGCACTTTTATTAAAATGTGAATTTCGCCTTTACAATCGGCAGTTGGCTCTTATTTGCCTTATTCTTTTGTTAAAAAATTTGCGTTTCAAGAACCTTTGAATTTAATTTCGCACTCCGTAACTTTTGCAAAATGACCTGTGACTATTTGTGTCATCGTTTCGCGCAATGTTTTATATGATCGTATTTGTCACCTCGCAGAATCCTTATCCACGAGTACAGCGGAGCACTCGAACGCTGCGGACAGCGTCGGCGATCAGCAGAGCGATCCGCAGATCCAGCAATCCGCGCAGCAATGGCCAGCCGTGCTGGAGTTGCAGGCGTACAATGTCGCACACTCCGCCCTTATACCATCGTACCACTTCTGGAACACCGAGTTTCGCAACAAACAGCCGGCGTTCATCCGGTTGAACCTGACCCTGCCGTGGGGTGCGAACTTCGCCGTTTACGGCAGACGGAACGTCGCGCCCAGCGTCACGCAATACGACTTCGTGGAGTTCGTGAAGGGCGGCAGGATCGTTCACAGGCTGAAGAGGGACGCCACCGCGGAGGCCGTCAGCTTCATGAAGTCCGTCAGCATGCAGGATTCCTACGTGAAACGCGCTGCCGAATCGCCCACGTCTTATCAGCACGTGCTGATCAAGAGAACGATAGCCGAACCGATGACGGTCAATGTCAGTCTGCTGCAGTATTTCGACACTGGCGACTGGTTCTTGTCTGTATATAACGATGAGCTGCAGCCTTATAAAGTCACGTTGGTTGTAACGGAAGCCGAGGGCGTCTCCACTACATGTCCTAACGATTGTTCCGGACGCGGATCCTGCTACCTCGGCAAGTGCGACTGCATAGACGGATATCAGGTATGTTCCAGCGGAACGAATCATAAGCTATAAACTTATATGGGCTTTCTACAATAAACCATTAGTCATCGCTTATATCTCTTACACTGGTCAAAATTATAAGTCATTAATCTCAGGAAATTTGCATTCACAATAAGTTGTAGTATTATTGTTGCGTCACGTCATATTTCATTCAATCAGAGGGAAGATAGTTTTCAGTTCTGGTCAATTTTTCCAATAAAGACAGCGGACATATATTGCTCTTTGATTGGTCAATCATAAAGCAATCATGACTTTTAAGCTATAAAAATGGAATTTGCACTCTCCATACAGTCATTGATCATTGACTTATTATTGACTTATGATATAATAGTGACTCGCTTATAACTTGTTTCTGACTTCTGATCCATTATTAATAACTTATTGTATAAAAGCCCAATAGAGATAGATCGCGTATTTTTATGAGGAAGTTGAAGTTGAGAGTAAAGAATAAAGATATACTGACAAGGAAACCCACACAAATGTCCGCCTCTGATTTTCATGAACTTGTAATATGTTATACTTTAGACAAAATAATAGATAAGTTTTTTACTATATGTGCCTTTTCGCAAGTTTAAGGGATAGAAAAAAATATTTTGAATAAAAGTTGAATGGTTTAAAGAGTACTTTACAGAAATTATTTGAAAAAAAATTTTTTTTGTTCATATTTCCCCCACCACTTCTTATTATAATTGTTAAAATAATTTCTGTAAAGTACTCTTCAAAAGTTTCAACTTTTATTCAAAATATTTTTTTTCTCTTATAGTTTTCATTATATTCCCTTCGAATGAAAAAAACCGATTTTCTTCAAAGAGGTATTTCATCCCCTAAACTTGCGAAAGGGCGCATATAATAAAAAACGTATCTGTTATTTTGATCTAAAGTACAACATATTACAAGTTCATGAAAATCGAAGGCGGACACTTGTGTAAGTTTCCTTGTAAGTAAGATACTTTTTCTGTAGAAAGTATTTTGTAGTTTTACACAGAACTGTAGGAAGGGGAAGATAATGTAAGGGAAAGAAAAGAGAGAGTGAAACATGATGAAAGAAAGTGAGGACATATTGACCACGTGATTGCTTCTCCTCCTTTGTTCTCCTCACTAACTAGACAATTAGACAAGAAAAACATCTTACTATCATACATTTTCTCTCAACAATGCTAATTCCTTCAATATCAATTCAATAGCCCTTCTCTCTCAATGGGAGTGTGCAGTCTATCTCTATTAGTTATATCGTAAACTATCTATTATATTTTAAACAAAAGTGGCGACGCTAGCTTGCTTTAAAAATAGTTTAAATTGAACAATTGAGAATATAAAAACTACGGAAATGAAAGAAGAAATGAAAAGCAAAAGTAACTAAAAAAAGAAGCTAAAAACGTATTCAGATAAAAAATACCATATATACTCGTTTAAAAATGATTACCCTCTTAATTATTTAAGACTACACTCCGACATTTGCATGTCGGCATTCCGGCTTCAGAGTTGGAGCCACGTTTTGAATTGTTTCCAACGTTTCGTGAACATTTCACTTCATCAGAAAGAGGAGCAAGCTAACATTTAGATTCAGAATCAGATTTCTCCTTTCTCTGATGAGAGAGATAAACTGAAATGTTTACGAAACGTTGGAAACGATCTGTTAAAAAACGCGGCTTTAACCCAAATATCAAAACAAACATTATTCCACACCGCGAAAGCTTCAAATATTATTTGTATATCGGCTTTGCAGCCTTTCGATTTTAATTCTTGAATAGCCAAAAGTTATATTAAAGAGATTCTGACACTATTCTTTAATCAAATAGTATTTTAATAATAAATAAAATTGTTTAAAATGATTAAAAAAATAATATTGCAACAATATTAGCGAGATAATTGTAATGTTATATTCGAAATATCATAAAAGAATATGTAATTATCTTTTACTTTAAAAGTTATCTTAATATCTTAAAAGTGACAAGATAAGAATTTAAAATAAGAATTGTAAAATTTAATGTCAATACCAATTGTAAGAAAAGAAATATGTACTTAAATGTATTCGTTATTGTATTTAACATATGATCAGTGTCATTTAATTTAAATTAGAAATATATAGAAAAGCTACATGTTAAAATAATAAATATATAAGAGAGATAAATACAGAAATGATATTATCATGTTATTTCAGATTCGATGCTAATTTATCATGTATATAATGTTGTTATGTTTTCATTTTGAATACTTAAAGTACACATATACAAAAAAAAATTGATATTTTTGTCATTATTTTTTAATCATTTTTTCCTTGATTAAATATAACAACATCATATATTTCCATAATAATGCATTTCAAAATATTTCCAAGTAACAGTATGACGTGATATATTAATTACACGTTATTGATGTTAGAGGCATCATTAGTGCGTCATTAAAACATCATTTTACACCATCATATTTACTGGGTTTACTCTTCAAAATGGAGTAACTTCTGATCTAGAACTCTGAATCAATATCATATTGTTTTTAATTACTTTTAAATGTAGCAACATAAGTTAATTTTTTCCAAATTTTTTTTATTTTTGAAATATGAGCAATATATCCTTAATAGCTTCGCGTTATTCATGGCGGATATTGTAGAACGCGATACTTTGCGATGATTCCAGGGTGCTGATTGCAGTAAGAGTGTATGCCCGGTATTGTGCTCGTCTCATGGACAATACGGTGGTGGCATGTGTCATTGCGAGGAGGGTTGGAAAGGCGCAGAATGCGACATACCGTTAGGCGACTGCCAAGTGCTCGACTGCAATCGGCACGGGCAATGCGTCAGAGGATCCTGCGTCTGTAATCCAGGCTGGAAGGGCGCCTTGTGCGACGAGCGTAAGTTCCACATGTCTCGAAAGTCGATCGGGAAGGTCGGTCTAACGAAGCGCGACTAACGAGAGACGCGTTCGTCCGCTCTCCGGTCGTAGAGAGATTTAAGAAGAGCTCGCTCTTGAATGTAGAACTTCCGTTTCCTCACACACGTACGACTACGCGAAGACGATCGGGCAGATGTCGAGATAGCGGCGCCAGTTTCCGATACGTCGCAATCGATTTCGAAGTATTACCCGGGAGATTTTCGCGAGCGCGGTGACGTCGCGTTACAGAAGCGAGCGTGCAACGTCACGACGCATATTTCAACTTTAGAAACGGCTTAGCGGAAGTTGCCGTTGCGGGAACATTTACCTCGAACATCTATTTCTGCCCTGGGCATTATTTCTTCATGTTTGTCACGACACCATTAATTTTGCCATAATTCAAGTGTACGTCCTGGACCTTTATCCGGGGAGATTTAAGATATTAGTAATGTAGAGCCCCCGCCAGAGTGGAGAACACCAGCCGGTCTATGTACAACCTATAATTAATGCACGTGGTGTTCTCCAAATTTACATATGGGTCAAGCCGTGCCAATTCGGCGCGACAATTAGTTTCATATTGTTTCGCGGGAATTTGAATAATACATCGGCGAGCGCTGCGTGCCATGCGGGCCGCTCGATGCGTTATAATTTCGTGCTCGCGGAACTTCCGCGAGTTGAATGACGTCCGATATAAATGACGAGATTATTCGCCGGGAACGAGACACTTCGTCTCTGACATTCTCATGGTCCTCGTTAGAGATACGTTCGCCCACCGCTTTTTCCTAAACGCAGACGAAAACGGCATTAGTTCCGCGCCAGTGGAATATGTCAGCTCCAATCGTAGGAACGATAAATTCGGAAAGTAGAACGAATTTGCATCAGTCGCGACGCGACGACAAATGAGAGCTAACAAGCGAAGTCCGTGAAAATCGTCGCGCATTCTAGAGAAAAAGAACTGATGACTCCTTCAATTTTTCGTTAAAATATAACGGCACATCTCTCTTTTGCGCATCTTACCTTTCAATTTTGCATATCCACTCACCGAAATTTCTATGATAATACCTCACGTCTCATTTTCACGCTCATTTTCACGCTTTCAAACATACATTCCTCTTTCTTGACGCTTTCAATGTGATTATTTTTACAATTACATTGATCTACAAAAAAACTTCTTTATCGCATGGATCAAATTATCATAGATAATTATTATGATCTATACAATTTGTTCACGTTGAATTAAAAAATGCAAACAGATTTTCTTATCATCCAGAATTCTCCAGTGATATTTAAGTTGTGATAAAGATATGATTTCTAAGTTTTATGAAAATTAATTTTCTTTATATTTACAGACATGATTTATCTAATTTAAAACGTAGTGACTTTTCGCTATTATATATTGTGGTACGTCTTTTACATAAAAAAATATATTAGTTTCAACCATATAGTTAATTGTCGAAAGTCGTGTAAATAGAAAAAATCTTAATTTTAACGAATTTTTATAAACAAATTTGTTGCTTTTGTATGTGGAGAAACTTTTTAAGAAATATACTTAACATTGATAGTATTTCAACATAAAAAACTTAGAATTAAATTGAATTGCAAATTATATGGAATGTACAATATACAATTTTTAAAATTTTAAATGATTATTACAAAACTTAATAAATTTTTATAAACAAATATGTTGCTTAAATGGAAAAACTTTTTATCTATTTTTATACGGGAGGAATTCTCAATTAGTTTTTAAATTCTATACATAGAAATACATGAGATACACATCAGAAAATTTCCATGTGACATATTAGTTGTCGACCAATGTTATTAACAAAGTATTTTGACTCATTAAAATAGTTATTTTTAATAGTTCTAATAGTTACTTCTAATCCTATTCTAATCCTATTCTAATCCTATTCTGCATTATCCTAACTGTTTCTACGGAAAATATCATACCTATACTCAGGAGATGGGACATCGCGTACAAAAAGCGACTAAATAAGCAAACCGTCTCACCAGTTATAAGCTCAATTTACTTCTCTATGAAATTTTAACATTCAATGGGGTATCACGCACACTCGAGCAGTCAGTCTCCTGCTCGACGTGAGAGCGCGCGCCGACATTCCTGCCAGATTCTAACGAGAATGAACGAATCAATGATCCCGCTCGATCAACGTCGCGCGCGCATAACGCGAGTAAAATCCACGAGAGGAATATCTCTCATCAGTCGCGCCGATCGGCCCGTGTATACATGAACGGTGAATGCCATGCCACCGTCACACCGCCGTCGCCGTCGCTGCGTCGAGGACGCGCTCCGGAATTAAGTTTCATAATTTCCCCGGGGCAGGCGGGATCCGCGAGAATAATGCAATTGTTCCGATGCCATAATTTAAAAAGTTGGTCCATTCGTTCACGCCGTGGACGCAATCAGCGGTGCCCGGGCGTGATGGGGGCGTGAGGACGGTGTGAAGGAGGGGAGAAGTGCGCGGGGATGGCCGATGATAACCGAAGGGATATCCGCCAGGGATGCGAGTCTTCGAGGCTTTTAGGCTTCTTCCAGGAAAAGCTGCGAAAACACAACGCTAATCAAATCGTCGCGCGATCCCACTTTCTCTCGATTTGCAGCCGACTGTGCCGACCCCAACTGCAGCGGTCACGGCGCCTGTATCTCCGGCAAATGTTATTGCAAGGCGGGCTGGCAGGGCGAACGATGCAATCAGGTCGATCAGCAGGTGTACCAATGCCTGCCGGGGTGTTCCGATCACGGCACGTATGACCTCGAGTCCGCGGCCTGTGTTTGCGAGGAACACTGGACCGGTGTTGATTGTTCGCAGCCGAGCTGCGGCCTGGACTGCGGACTTCACGGATCTTGCGAGCAGGGTCGTTGCAAGTCAGTATATATCGCACACATATACACATGCAGAAAAATTTTCTTTAAAATTTTTCTTGAACATAACATACATTCAGAGGAAAAGACATTATGATGGCAATTAGATGACAACTATACGAATTTTATACGCAGAATTAATTGTACATAGTTTAACAAACTATATACATTACAAAACTATATACATACAAAACTGATATCATTACCATGATTTTTTCTTGAATGTAGTAATAACATTCTCTAAAATATAATTAGTGTATTTTTTATTGAAACATTATACTTATAATTGACAATTTAGTTATAAGTATAGCACTGCGATCGATAAAATCTCACTATAGAGATCAGTTAATAGTAGTAACTATCCCTATATACTAACTATTCTTATTCCTATTATTGATGTACTTTGAAAACACAGACAGTGTTATTGTACACGTAAGACGCATGTAAGCTGTTAATTCCACCATTACAAACGTAAAATTGGACTTGCTATAACGTATAATGAATTTATATTATTACAAATTTTACAGTAAAATCATACTTCCACTGATTAAAATCAATAAAAATAGAGCAATAAGATGAAAAAAGATACCAATGCCCGAACACCCTAATCCTGGACATTCCTATTATTTATCTTTAAATACAAATATTTAAGCTTTCAACATAAAAATATATGTACATATATTAAATATACATATATTCTATGTTGAAAGTTCAAATATTTATATTTAGAGGCTAAAACCATACGAATATCTAAGATTATGTACGTATCCGGGAATTGATACTTTTACTTTAAGATGTTTTCATTGAAAATCAATGAATATTCGGTATAACGATATTCTGAAATTCTGAGTGAAATAGTCCTTTCCCTGACTCAATCAGGAGCTTTTTTACTGATTCTTACAATTTAGAAATTCAATTTAAAAAACATGCATTGCGTAACAATGACATGCTTATATTTTACCAAAATTTATACAGGAAGTTTTATAATATAATTGTACATATTAGGAAGCCATGTTTCTATCAATTTAAACAAAATCTTCCTAAATAATAGATAAAATTTACAATAGTTATTTAGATACAGGCATTTAAAGCTAAGAATTGAGTTATAATTTTTTGAATGCCTTATTATTAAAAATAAAAACTGCAACAATAAATTAAATAATAAATCAAACATTACATATATAAAAACAAAAATTATTGAATAAAAGTAAAAATTACATAAATTATTCAAACTGATGTTCCTCGGCTAAGATACATCACTGCGATCTAAAATGGACAGAATAGCCGCACGAAAAATCTCGTGATTGTTTCTTATCTGCTGACATGCGTCATTAATACACTGTATTAAAGCAGATCTAGTGTCCACTGGCTCCTCTTTATCTGAAGAAGGAAGGAGGATCTTCTTCTAGAAGATTAGGAAAAGCAAATCATATTTAATTAGCTTTAAACGCTTATATCTAGATAACTATTGTGAATTTCATCCATGTTTACAGGAAGTCTTTTGCTTAAATTGATTCCAAGAACATTCTTTTAGTATGTACAATTCATCATGGAACGTTTTATATATGACAGCAATAAAAAAACGAATAATTTGATCAAACATATTTTATAAGCCATGATTGTATATAAATTTATTATACGTACAAAAATATATCGGAAAAATAAAAGTGTCCCATATTGATATATTTTTATAGTTATTACTTAGATTACTTGTTATTTCTAATGCTAATATGAAAAAAAATTTTATCTCGGATAGCAACTATTGTAACGAAATCCAGCTTACAACTTCCGCGAAGGACTCATGAAAGTCTATGAAGTTTACGCATCATCTGATCTATACATGCAGAGAACATTCCTCGAAGATATAAACATTTATTTTAACCAAATTTGTGTATCCTAGACTTTACAATAAAATTTTACTTAAAATATATAATATACAACGTACTACTGTGTATGTATGTCTAAATAATAATGGATGTTTGTAACCGTGTCGATGGCGTTGCATTGCTCGTCATTATTTGCAAAGAAATTGTTATACAAATAAATTTATTTAATTAATTTTTGGTTAAAGGAAACGGAATTTCTGATTCTTATAAGCCAAATTCGATTCTAAAAGCTAGACATTTTGTTTCTTTCAACCAAAACGCCTTTAATTCATTCATTGTCAGATTAATTCAACTAAACTTTCTTCTCCGTCTAACATTAAAGCAGAGCTCGGTGCGCGTTGCACATTTCGGCTAATTTTCACATTTGTTTGCAATAGAGGAAAGTTATTATAAATATATGTTTACAAATCATACGTTCCTGAGTTTAAAGCAGCTCGTAGATTGCGTGCGGGGCAATGAGGTAAGGGGAATAGACGGGACAAATCGAAAATCGTTCAAAATGCGCAACGCGTATCGAGCTCTGCATTAAAGCAATATATGACATACATAAAAGATGTAATTTAGTATGGGAATTTTTTTACATGTGCATTTAAAAGCTATTGAAAAAGTTCCATACCGATTGGAAAAGATTACATTTTTGCGTACAGTTTTATATTCTTTGCTCTTTAAATTTCCCAGATTTTCTTGAAATTTTTCTACATTATAAGTATATCCTAATCGGACAAGAAACTATCATGGTACTGTTTCGGTTAATAAATATTTATATTTTAAGTAAAATTTCACTGTAAAGTCTGAAATACACAAATTTGGTTAAAATAAATGTTTATATCTTTGAGGAATGTTCTCTGTGTGTACGTATAGATCAGATAGTAGTCACAGACTTTGACGAGTCCTTCGCGGAAGTTGTAAGCCGGATTTCGCAATTAGGTTGACTGCGAACGTGGTCGGTCATCGTTCCATGAAATCGAATAAAAGGAATGTCATATCGTTTTTCTCATATCCAAGAAATTTCACGCGACCTAGATTCACAAACCCGTTTCAACGCCCGCGGCTCCCGCCGGATCATTGTTTAACGCATGAGATTTGCGGAAATGTGCGAACGTGGCGACTATCCGCGCGCACTCCGCACTTCGTGGAGTATGATGTGTAGGACTTTCCTCGCGACTTTTTACGATCGACATGAATTATCAGATAATGTTGCGCCAAAGACTAAAACATTGTTAAGTTTTCAACGAAAGCCGCGTGCAAGAGAGGAAGGCACACCGTGAGTATTCAATAATAATTCGCTCGCGCGAGTTGAAAAAGAGAGAAAAGAGAGGGGTGGAAGAGATTGGAAAGAGAGAAAAAGAGAGAGAGAGAGAGAGAACGAGTAACATTTTGTCGAGACATTGAAATATGCGATAGGTGTGGGCGAAGAATGGCCTAAAAATGAGTAAATTGCTCCCCAGGACCGCGGCTGCGAAAGTTAAAGCTAAAAAGGTAAAAAATTGCGAGAACAAGGCTCTGTCTTATGAGACGCCAACTTATCACAACTCGAAGGGCCACACCGTCGTCCCTTCCTACTTTCCTTTGTCAGAATCAAGGACGTGGGTGAGGATCTCCTTTCTCATATTCTAAAGCTGACGCCTCTCGTCTACTCTCCTGTCCCATCCTCGAGAGTTGGCGTAAAAGAGGCTCTAAGTGCAAAAAGTTCCGCCGCACGGCGGCGGAACAACTTTGGAACTGAATTCAAACTCACATTTTTTATTACGGCCGGTATAAACGGTGAGAAATGATTTTATGTTCGGCGACACTTCGATTCAACCCCTAACGTATCCCGTTATAACCCCTCACGCGTCTCAACAGAGCATACCGAGCGCGATTAATGTAATGAGATTGAGTTCTTATCTCGCGAGTGGTCGCTATGACCGACAACCTAAGAGTAAAGACCGTCAGCTTTACGGAATTTAGCATATTTGAAAAATATTCTGCTTGATAACCTTCTGTCGCTCTAAATTTTTGTTAAATCAGTGTAGATGATAATTGCAGAAATACAGTTTCACAAAGACATGAAAATATATATTACACACCAAAGATTTCTTATGCTATAACTCTCATTAGCATTAAAATTATTCAATTAGGAAACAGGCACAAAAAATAAAATATTACTATGGTAAATCATTTTATAAGCAGCAGACTTGATTATTAATCTATTATTATCTTAATTGTCCATTTATTGCTTTTGTCCATTTATTGCTTTGTTTTCATTCAGTAAATGGTTAGATCTTTCGTACGCAATAACTGCAGAAAAAGCACTATATCTTGATTATAATCTCAAATTTCATTTTCACTTAATAGACAAAGGTTGATATAATTGTTCAGTAATTACTCGAAAACCCTCTATTCAGAGTTATATCCTAAATATCCAAATATTTATATCCGATTACTATATCGATATTTACATACCGTAATATCGATATTTTATCCTTCATCATCATCGAATATAATCGATAATATCATCCTTTTGCAATTACTTTTGCAATTGTTCCTCCAGGACTTCTTTGCGGTCATGAAAATTTGTTCAGAGCAGTCTTTAACAATAACCTATCGATGTCTCTATTCTCCGTTGTTTCGCTTGTCCGATAAAATAGTGCCAACGATCGATATTCATAATACGCGTAAATGTTTATAAGACGGGATGGTGTATTCATTTACAGATGTCACGACGATTGGACTGGGGTGAAATGCGATCAGAAGCCGTGCGATCTGCGCTGCGCCGAACACGGCCAATGCAAAAACGGGACCTGCGTGTGCAGTCAAGGATGGAACGGAAGACATTGCACATTGCGTATGTAGAATAGCGTAAACTACATGTCGAGCGAGCTTATCGTACTTCATCTCGCTCGAGCGTATACTTTTGTCATTGTGAAATAAGTTTTACGATACGGATCGGTGAAACTCACCGATTCTTTGTAATCAGCTGTAATCAGCTCAATCCACGTCTGCTTTCCTGTTCAAATAGCTGGATGTGCAAATGGATGCAGCCGCCACGGACTGTGCACGTTGCAGAACGGCGAATACAGTTGCAAATGCTCGAGCGGATGGGCCGGTAGGGATTGCAGCATACGGTTGGAAGTGGAATGCGACGACTACATCGATAATGATGAAGGTAAGGATCCTGGTTCAACATCTTAAACCATTAATGACATATTATTGCACATTTGTATCTAATAGGCATTTTTCCTGCAAAATACAAAGCGAGGATAGATTTGTCGACATAAAAATATCATACATTATATGTGTAATTTCGACTATGGTCCGTAATAATAGTTATTATTTGAAACTCGTCTCAAATGAGATATTCAGATTTCAGAGTTAAATGAAAGATTTTCTATTAAATCGCAACTACAGATGCAAATATCACGTTTATCCAACTGAAAAACTTGGATCTCGCTCTGAATAAAAATTTGAATATCTCAACAAATATCTAGAACAAAGTTTAAGAAACAACTATCAATATGAGCCTAAATGAAGAGCTTAATTTCCAGATTTCTTTCGTAATTCGATTATTGCAACGAATGTCAACTCAGAACTTTAACTAAACTTACCTCAAATTTGTACATACACTGATCAGTGTAAGAGTTTTAATATACTTTTTTTACTAGCGACAATCGAAAATTTTGACCATACATAATGCTTCTACATATTTGTGCATCATGACCGTTAGTTATTTCGAATAAATATCAACCTTATCTTGAAGCAGCTGTGATATTAACAGCTGTCCGCGTGTATACAAGACAGGTTAAATCTAGAAATTAAGTGTTTCATTTAGACTCATATTAATAGTTGTATCTTAAAATTTGTTCTAGGTGAGATATTCAAATTTTTATTTAGAAGTTACAGGTTACGACAAATTAGAGATACGTGAAATTAATTACATTTTTACTGTATACTCCTAAGATTCATCGAAAATTAATTCTACGAAAATATCCAGTGCACAGTTTTTAGATAGTACAGATCTCCAAGAGACGTTTTTAGATAGTACAGACCTCCTAAAAACATTCAGAGGGGAGAAGAGAGGATCCTAAGGGCATCCCCCAAAACATTCTCAAGATGTCCCTTGGAAATTTGTGCTGATTGGTATAGACTACCAAAAACAGATTTCTATCGATGGCAAGTTTGTAAGAAAAATTGTAATGATACGCTACCGTAAAAATATTTCATTTTATCTATCTATCTATAAGCACAGGAAAACGAAGAGGGATGAAATATAGAAAAGCTATGATACGACGATCTCGAATTATTCCGTGGTTGGTCTTCGAACGAATATTTGATTACATTTGTCAACACGTAATTAGTTACATGAAATTTCTGATGCGTTCCTATGTATTTTTATGCGCACAATTCGAAAATGAACTGAAAATATCTCCATCATAATTTTTCTAAAATGATCATCTGAAGTTAAATATACTATATATGAGACATTCCACACAATTCGCATAATTTAATTTAACTCGGCGCAAACAGAAGGTTAAAAATTGTTGCTCAGTGTTATCTTCGCAGAGATACAAAGCTCGCTCGAAATGACAAGGAAACATAAAAAATGCAGATATGTAACGAATCATGTTTCTTATGATCAGATGGCATGGTGGACTGTTCTGACAGCGAGTGCTGTTCGCGCAAGGCTTGTTCGGAACACATCATGTGCCTCGCCAGTAATAATCCCGTGGACGTTCTTCTGCGAAAGCAACCGCCTAGCGTTACCGCATCTTTCTATCAGCGAATGAAGTTCCTCGTCGAGGAGAATAGCGTACAAAGCTACGCCCATATGAACGAGTACACGGAAAGGTAAGATCGATCATTTTCCACTTGGACGGATTAAAATTCGAATTAGATCGCTTAGTCTCTTACTTTCATAATATAAGTGAGAAGAACGTTCGCGCGAGCGACCGAGAATTCGCCGTGTGACCTCGCAAACGCTCACGACTCGGTGCATATCTTTCGTGTTCCGGCGATTTTGTGTCGCGCTTTTTGACTGAGAAAAAATGTTTGGTATTTGTAACTATTAGGTGTTTGCAAAAGTTTGTATGACATTAAAACAATTTTTATTTATTAGTAATAATGAGATGACATATAATATCTAAGTAAAAATGTTGGCCCCGTTGCTATCAATAACTTTTTGCCATCTTTCAGACAATAGTTTGACAATGGTTTAGTTTTGATCCCGCGCCGATAAAATAATTCTTTTGAGGCAATCTGTTCATCGATTCATTTTCGCATTTCGTCAGCATTTCGGAATCATGTATTAGACGTTGCATCGATCTAATTAAATAAAAATCAGATGGGGCGATGTCTGGAGAGTACGCTGGATGCGAAAGGACTTCCCACTCGATTCAAACAACATTTCTTTAATCACAATAGTAACATGCGGCTTGGCGTGGAACAACTTTGATAACTTTGCGTCGATTCGCAGCTATTTAAGAGCGCTTTTCCTTCATAGCTTGATTCAGACGCCATAATTGTTGATTGTAATGATCTCACGTGATTGTTTGCCTTGATGATAATAGCTTTAAACTAAAGCATTTCTTTTTGGTCCTACTAAATATACTAAATATAGAAGAACCTTATGATTGTAGATCATAAGGTTTTTTGTGGATGTCGATAGTTAGCCGGGATCAAACCATGATTTTTTGCGTTTATGATTGTCAAAATAGATTTATCGCCCGTAACTGTTCGTTGCAAAAAAAAACACTTTTTTGTTTCTGACAAGCAATAAGAGATAGATGGTAAGTCTAGTTCGCAATCACAGTTTGCAGACAGTTTATAAGGAAGTCATTTTCCTTCCTTTTAGATCATTGCTTTCAAATGACAGGATACTGTTGATTCATCAACTCCGAAGTATCCTGCAAGCTCTTTAGTAGGCCAAGTTTTTGTTAAGCAATGTTTCAAATTTATTGTTCTCTATCTCGTTTGGACGAGCAGAACATGGCTTGTCGTTGTCATCGTAATCATCATTTCTAAAGCTGCTAAATTACTTCTCACAGACAACAGCGGACACAATATTCTCTTCACAGATCTCATAAATCAATCCTTAGTTGTTGTAGCAGTTTCACCTCGATTAAAGTAGTAAAGTTTGCAGTGACGAAAATGAACTTTATCTGGTATCATCTTTAATCTCGTTAAATGTAACGTTTTGTTCAGAATTATAAGTTATCAACCATCAATTCTGATCTAGTATGACCAATATTTAAAAACCAAAAAGCAACTTAAAGGAAAACAATTATTCAGTCGCTACTATAACCATCTATTTATGATCTTACAAGCTTTTGCAAGCACTTAATATAACTACACAAAGAAACAATTACTATTTATGATCAAGAAAATAACTTCTTTATTAAATTCTACTTCGAATGTTTGTGATAATGACTTTATATACGTGATAATACCATTTTCGTGTTAGAATAACTAAAAAAATACGATTGGAGCTAAAAATAACTATAATTTTAGTTAGATGAACCATTTTTTCTCTTGATGTGCAAATCACTTGATTTAATGGAACTGCGTATACCACGGCGAAGACTCGGTCGGACTCGCAAACGTCCCGCATATAACGATAATGATAATGAAGATCAAATAGCCTAGCTGCGTGTTATAGTTTGGCCTTTTTACGACTCTCATATAACCGCGCATTACTTTTCTCGTTCTTATCGTTAGCCAGAAACTACGCGTGTTATCATCATGTTTGGTTGAATACTTTTGTTCCTTTTATATATAATATACACGGCACGCCGCGATTTGTCCACGGAGTGTGCAGTGAACGTCCTTAAAAAAAAACAAAAAAAAAACAGAAAAACGTTATTAATGTCAAAATTGCCATTTACAGGACTGAGGAATTTAATGTGTGAGAAAGTATAATACAATGTATCGCGTCACACACACGCTGCACGCAGTTATCGAGTTATGAATACGATTATGTAACTTGCGCGTTTTCAATTTCTGTGGTAACGGTTTACGATGGGGTACATATTCTCTCGCGTTTTATTATTGTTATATATCATTCTCTTATGTAATCCTTGATCATGTGCGCGCTACGGACGCGCAACAACAATTTCGCGTGCGTGCGCTGGATCGAGTTAGTTAAAATGTATTTGCGGCTTTGAATACGCGTGAAACGAAGTTTCCAATTTTATCGTAGTGCGCCGTAGACGCGCGCAACATAAATCTCGCGTGAATCTTTGCGTGAAATGCGCGTATTTGACAAGTACGAGCCGTGGAAGCCGCGCGATGGCACAAATTTGTCGTCACGGAGGAATCGCGCGCGTGTCTTTGTCGTGCCTTTTAATGAACTGAAAATCATAATTGACGAAAATTCAACGCAGCATATATGGCTGACTGAATAATTCACAAATTCGGTAACTGTCGTGGCTCAATCGCGATACGAGTCGTCACTTTGCATAACCCGCAGCAATAAAATATGTTTTATCGATTGAACGTGTCGCGTGTCGAGACTATTGGTTCGCGCGAACGAATGCAGTACGTTATGTGTCGCAAGTATTTATCGAATGGAGATACCGCGATTAATTATTTATTACATTCATGTCTCCCCCATCGTGAGCGACCATTGAACGATACAAAAATCGCATTACAAATTCGATCGACTCGTCACGAATCCAAACATACCCGTGATAGCTAAAATATCGAGAGTCCCCTCCGGTGGGTGACAACCTGCAAACTTCTAACTATCCTTTTCCCAGTGTTTCACCCCCCCCCCCTTCCTCCTCCGAATGCCGATTGTGTCGATAATCATCTCGGAAGCATTGCCAAGCAAAGATTCTTCGTCTGTAATCATTTTATACGGTGCGTGGAGACGTTTGATACAAATTTTGACAGTAATTTCAATCGAAATCGAACGTGTGTACGTTTGTGCGTATGCCATTGCCAATTGACACGGGCACTACGGCGATAAATAAATAAATGGATAAGTAAATATGTAACGAGTAAACGAGATGTAACGTGTTGTATACTCATTAAATGACATTTGATTTCAACTCGACAGATTAATACGGAATATTACATGCATATTTATCGTACGCATCATTAGCTTGAAAAACATTCAACAGATAGTTCGCACGGTGCTTTCAATACAATCGACGAAACAAGTGCATAATTATTTATCGGAAGGAGTCAACTGACTGTTTACACCTACAAGAAATGATGTCTCAAGCAAAACGACTCGAAGAAGAACTTAAGAGAAAAGAGATAGTTTGCCAAGCAAGATCTGGTGGGAATACTTAATTTTTCGACAAAAGATCCAGAAAGCTGGTGAGATAAATATATTTCTTTGTTCGGCATTGAAAAAGAGAGATTATCGATATTCGCGGTACCCGGCTGGAAGAGGCCGCGTAGGCATTTCGGGGGAATCGTGTATTTTGTCTAGTGTTTATCCTCTGTGTGTACCCCTTCACCAAACCACCAATCACCCTACAGCCGAAGACCGAAAAGAAAAGAGGCTCCGTTCTGCTTACGGACTGTCAACGACTTAAAGTCTGCATTATGAAAATATATATGCTAGAGACTTGCTTTTGTATTATTTTATCAGTTCGTTCATTTCTCACGCGTTTACATACTCTAGGCACTGTTCGTGTGCACTGATCGTTATGAAGCATAACGGTACTCGGCAATATTATGCGCAATAATAATTATTGTAAGGGAGGATAGAGATACATTTTCAAAATTACTTCCGACAGCCCAATAATCTGGCCATTCGTTAAGCGATTACGAGAAAGGAGTTCGTAGATAAAGCGTACGAATGGTTGAGTTGCGGACGGCCACGTTCGTACTCTTTCTTTTTCCTTCGTGTATGAAATCGGCAGAGAAAATTTGCAATTATCTACGAAAATCCTGTGCTAAACTATCGATGCCAAAGAAAAAAAAATGCCACGTGACTCGACCATTCGTAAAAGTATTTCTAAATATGGTAGACACAAGTTAGAAATTTCTCGTGCCATTTTCTTTCTCTTGTTTCTCCTTCTACACTCGCCGCGCGAAAATACGACTTAGTACATAATAAGGTCCATGCCGTCGAAGAGATTCCAAAAATCGTGCATTAGCATTATTTTCGTCCATTGTATGTTCACCTCACAATGTCGGAATATCGATTGCTACTTCGAGTATACTTACGGCCATCCGCAAATCCAATATGCAACCATTTTCTCGAGGGGGTTTGCTTCTCTTAAAAGTCTCAACGCCAGTAATTCTCAGAGCACTCTTGGAGCGTCTGATGTTTATATGTATATATATACATGTATATTTATATATATGTGTGTGTGTGTGTGTGTGTCTATATATATATATATATATATATATATATATATATATATATATATATATATATATA